CACACTAGGACTCTGGCTTTGGAATTACTATCCTATAAACATAGAACTTTGTGTTCTAATGCTGGAACAATGTAGTCAAAAGGAGAGACTGATAAATTACCCTTTTGTCTTATATTGATTATTCATGTTGTTAACTTTACCGGGGGAGTCCTGGTGTGATGCTATAGGGTTAACACTAATATTGGTAATTGCAAGCTTAGCAATTTCCAACAGCTCCTTGGAAACTGTACACAGGTCGCTATCAGTCAGAAACAACTTGATGGCACATAACAACAGTAAATTTATCTGGACTGTTATTTGAATGTTTTCCTAACTTCCGCCCACATCCTTCTCATGCCCACCTAGTCATCTAGAAGATGCAAAGTACCTGTCATTCCCATTTAAATTTAAATATATATGTATTTTTAAATGATCAGACTGATTCTCTTCTTGGGATTTCAGAAATTCAAGACTCCATGGAGAAAATTTTTTACATCTATGCCAGTCTATGCAATAATTGTGGCAAACTTCTGCAGAAGCTGGACTTTTTATTTACTGTTAATTAGTCAGCCAGCATATTTTGAGGAAGTGTTTGGATTCGAAATCAGCAAGGTATGTAAAAACATGCTGTTATTTAAATAGTGGGACACTTTTGAATTGTTAAGTGAACATTAAGTTCTTTTGTCAAGATTGTATCTTCTAACATTTATAAGTTATTCATTCATTCTTTTGTTTATTCATTCAACAAGTAACTGATGGAAAACAACTGGTGAAGGGAATACAGGCAACACAGAATTCGCCCCTGCCCTTATAGAACTTGCATCCTAATTAAGGTGGACTGCAGTATAGGCTGCTTCTTTCAAATAAACATTGTTGTTGTGGTTGTTAAGTGCCATCGAGTTGGTTTTGACTCATAGCTACCCTATATAGCATTTGTGAGGATCAGCTGGTGAACTTGAACTGCTGACCTTGAGGTTTAAACCCACCTTGCTCTTCAGCACATTAACCTAGAGCAGGACTTCAAATAAACATGTCATACTGGTGCTGATGCTGGTGCTGATGATGCAAATGGTGATGCTAATGGTGGTGGTTGTGGTGGTCTGCTGTGGAGTAGGTTCTGACTCATAGCGACCCTGTACAGGGTTTCTGAGGATGTAAATCTTTATGGGAGCAGAAAACCTCATCTTTCTGCCATGGAATGGCTGGTAGTTTTGAACTGCTGACCCTGATGTTAACAGCCCCACTCGTAATCACTACTAAATCTCCAATCAGTAACAACATAGCAGTAAGGAAAAAAGTGCTCTATTCTAATGAAATTAGCATAGTGGCTACGAGTTGGGCTCTAACCTCAACATCAGAAGTTCCAAACTACCAGCTGTTCAGCAGGAGAAAGATGCCTTCTGCTCCGGTAAAGATATACAGCTTCAGAAACACTATACAGGGTCGATACAAGTCGGAACCAACTCCACAGCACACTACCACCACCACTAACAATTTAACTTTTCCTTTTCAGTGCGTTCTAGTATGATTGTTGTTGTTTTTGTTAAGTGCCGTCGAGTTGGTTCCGACCCATAGTGACCCTGTATTGGATTTCCAAGGAGCAACTGGTGAGCTTGAACTACCGACCTTGTAGTTCAAACGGCTTTGCAGTCTGGCGCATTAACTCACAGCGCCACATCAGAACTCCTTCTAGTATGGTACTGTAGGATAAATACTGAACTGCTATCTACAGAGTCCACGGTTCAAACTCACCAGGGGCTCTGGGAAACCACAGAGTCGCAGTGAATCAGACATATTGTCAGGAGGAATGAGTCCTTGGAGAACGACATCATGCTTAGTAAAATGGAGGGAGAGGAAAAAGAGGGATACCCCTAATGAGATGGATTGTCACAGTGGCAGCAACAGTGGGCTTTATACAGTAGCTTGAATTGTGAGGATGGCGCCGGACGGGCAGTGTTTCGTTCTGTTATGCATATGGTTACTATTGGTCCAGACCAACTCGAAGGCACTTAACAACAACAACATAGGTCGGAACTGGCTCAATGGCACTTAAAACAACATTTCAGTGCTGTAAGGAATCTGTCCAGATAAAAGATACCAGAATAGGAAAAATATCCAGAAAAAGTCTTACATTTTGTCCATCCAATGTGTTCATTTAACATATTTGTAAGTCATGATATGTTAATCTTTGTGTTACATTCAGAAATAATATATGATTTTTGTCTTCAAAGACTTCACAGCTTTGTGGGGTTAAAAAAAGAAGAAAGTTTCTAGCATGTGAAGTTATAGAGGCATTTGTGTATGGCTTGATAAGGTAGAGAGCAATGGAAAAAGAGGCAGACCCCCAATGAGATGAATTAACACAGTAGCTGCAACAATAGACTCAAACATGAGGATTTGAGGATGGTACAGGACAAGGCAGTGTTTCCTTATGTTGTGCATAGGGTCTCTATGAGTCAGAACCAAATGGACGAAACCTAACTGCAAAAATGGAAATATAATAATTATGAGACTTTTAGATAAAGATAAAATAAAATAAAATTACGACTTTAAGCTTGAAAGGCCACATCAAGTATCAATCCTATCCCCTCTGTATACAGGTTAGATAGGGACGGGCAATTGAAACATTGGCTACCTAACATGAGGGGGTGATAAATGCATGAAGTGACTGGTTTACAAGTTTTCAAGAGGGAGTTTAGTTTAAGATTGTACGTGGGAAGGTAGAATCCCCACTGAATAGTTTTCATCTTGTCTAGATGGATCTGGTGAAAAGAGATAGGGAAAAGATTCTTATAATTCAATAGTGAGTAATTATTATCATGACTAATTGTGACAGTCACAATTGTAAAAGTAGAAGTTTTGTAACAAAAATGAGAGAGTAGTTAATCTTACAGTTCAGGAACAGAGGACCCTAGGACCACTAAGGGAGAAAAACAGGAGCGGAATGCAGGCCCTATCCAGAGAAGCAGTGACACCAGAGATGAGGACATGGACGGAGAGAGCAGCTGAAGACTCTAGACTGTTGGAAAGAGAAAGACTGAGTGCTGGTGGCCAGGAGGCAGGCTTGCAAAATGTGCCCTTTGGTTGATTAAATTATTTTATATGCCTGAAAGACAAAAACAAAACAAAACAAAACAAAACAAAACAACCCTACTACTTTATATGTTTTTGTTACGTGCTATGGAGTTGGTTCTGACTCACAGCGTCCCTGTATAGGGTTTCTGAGGAGTGGGTTTGAACCACCAACCTTACAGATGCTGTTATTATTGTTTTTAAGTGTCATACAGTTGGTTCAGAATCATAACAACCCTATTTGGGGCTTCCAACACTTTAAATCTTCACACGAGTAGAGAACCTTGATTTTCTCCTGCAGAGCAGCTGGTGGGCGAATCTTATGAATTGTTGTTGTTGTTGTTAAGTACTCTCCAGTGGTTCCAATCCATAGTGACCCTGTGTAGGGTTTCTGAAGAGTGGCTGGAGAGCTTAAACAGCCTACCTTGCAACTCAAACCAACTTTGCAGTGCAGTGTGTTAACCCATAGCGCCACACCAGGATTCCAATGTTGTGGACAGGTGGTTAAAATTCAGAAGTTAGTTAATATATCCATGAACAAACTTATTTGCTGTTGACCAGCTGGATAGCTGTCATCCATTCTGGTGAAACAGAAACTAGGGATGGTATTTAAATTTCCCAAGACTGTGCTGATAATAAATGACAGAATTGAATTTAGACTCAGATCGTTTGATAGCTATTTAACTTATTTTAACTATGACATTCAACTTCAGTTAAACCATATATTCATTCAAACATTTAGAAAGTATTTGCTGAATGCCACTTATGGCCAAGCCTTTCGCTAAGTCCTAAATACACTTATCTGTCTATAATGGCAGTGGTTTTACCATTTCTCTTCATGTCATTGCATAGATCCAGCTGGGCTCACTATTCATATTATGACTCTACTTGAAAGACTATCCATGGCCTGGGACTAAAGAAAATCCGAGTGTAGGAGTAGCTATTCTAAGAGCCCTTTTGTAATCCTTGTTTCTAAGGAAACTGTTTCCTCCATCCCTGAGAAGAATGGCTGCTTCAGGCAGGGCTCTTCTCTCTGGTGCTGATCAAACACTGTAGGGTACACTTTGGGAGCTCTGAGAGATGTTGTACATCTCAACAAAGGCTGCCAGAGGTGCGAGTCCATTTTCATAATCTAGGACGAATATGACACTGAGGGTCTATTAATAAAGTCAGGTATCATGGGGGGAGTAAAGGAGCCAACTGATGTTAATAAAACTGTGTGGTCATTCTGGTCTTGTGGCTCCAATTAATTGAAAATGCTTGAGGAAAAGCAACGGACATTTTGCAAAAGCTAATTAAAATAATCAGATGGCTGATTTAAGTCACTCATTTTATTTTTTAATTAAAACCTTGGATAAATGCAACATACACAGTTTTTTTTTTTTTTTTTTTTTTTTGAAGAATTTAAATAGGTTAGAAAAAAAAAAAAAAATCTCTCTCCTGTAAAATGTTCAGAGAAGGTTAGTAGAAAAGAGACCCCGGGTTTTGTAACAAAGCTGATGTGGTTTTGAAACCAAGCTACACAATGAACTGTCAGTACATAACCTTGGAATTGTTACTGGTTAATTATCAATCTTAATTTTCTTATCTATAAAATAATGCTATTAATACCTTCTTTCAGAATTTCAGCAAAATTTAAGTGAGATAAAACATTTACATGGGCCTAAGTTCTTTGCTACTTTCATTGAATTAGGTGTCCTACAGGCAAAACACAAGATCTGTAACTTGCTATTCAGTTCAGGCATATTGGCTTAGTTAAGGCAGAATTATAGATATGTCTTAACCTGGGTTCATTGTACAGCGTTTTAACTCCCTGAACATAGCACATTAAGAACAAAGCCAATGCTAAAATAAGCCAGGGATATGTTTGAGATGTCAGATTACAGGAGCCAGACAAAAAGGAGAGATATTCATTCACTTTCAGCCTCATATTTAAGGGAAAAATAATGTTGAATGGCTGCTCTTGCTCCGGGATACCAGCCATTTTCTGAGTGGAACATGGATCAGATGGGGAAAGGGATGAAGGTTGTAACCCAGAGAAGTAAAGATGAGAATGAGGTAAAGTCTAATGATCTGGGGTATCTATGAAGATTCAGTCTGTTGTATACTGCAAACATTTAGCCTACTTTTGCAAAACCTTACTGACCAGACTGCTATGCAATTATTATGAATGATATGGTAAGAGAGTGATGATTTCTGGTCATGTGACAAATGATTACTTACCATAATTTACTAAAAGCTGAGATGGTAGGAGGAAAATTTTCATAAAGTTCTAAATACCTATGGCCCTGTTGCAGTCATGTATAGAATATATTGCCTAAAGAACTGGTAGCTTCATTACCCTCAAAAGTCAAGTTAATTAACTGAAATATCATAAAATTTATGTCATTCAACCTTGATTGTTAAGTCTTTGCATTTCCCATAAAGCTTTACAAAGTTTCTTAGACAGTAGACATAAGTGGGTGTTCAGTTTAAGAACCTTTGTGAAATCTCAAATTCTAGGTCAAAATGCAGGCCAATTATGTGGCTTTGCAAAGCCCTAGTTATTCTCAAGTTTTATTCTACTTCTAAAGAATTTTACAAATATCACATGAAATTCTGTGCAAATCTTAACCTGGTGCCTTTCAGAATGTTTCAAAGGTTTCTTTCCATACATTGATTACTTTAGGACTCCTAGTATGGTGCTGTAGAATCACTGGACTGCAAACCATAAGGTTGGTGGTTCAATTCCTCCAGCTGCTTCTCGGAAACCCTATATAGGGTTGCTATGAGTTAGAACTGGCTCAACAGCACTTAACAACAACAACTGTAATTAAAGTAACCCTAATGACACAGTGGGTTAAGCTGTGAGGGAGAAAAATGAGACTTTCTGTTCCTGTAAAGGTCTACAACCTCAGAAACCTAATGCAGGTTGCTCTGAGTTGAACCTCACTTGACAGCACACAGTCAGTACCACAACCACAACCACTTTTGTTAAGGGAAAAGAATCGCTTTACTTTTTCAAGATGTTATTCACAAAAGCAATGATGTCTGGTCTTAACGTTTGTTCAATTTATCACCTTTACTTTAAATCACATTTTTCAAGTCCCTAAATCCCAGGCTTTGAGCTAAACATGCACCAACCACTAAAGCCAGTGAGGATGAAACAGAAGAATTCTACCAACTTCTTCAATCTGAAATCGATCAAACATGCAATCAAGATGTATTGATCATTACTGGTGATTGGAATGCAAAGGTTGGGAGCAAAGAGGAAGGACCAGTAGTTGGAAAATATGGCCTTGGTGATAGAAATGATGCTGGAGAACGCATGATAGAATTCTGCAAAACCAATGATTTGTTTATTTCAAATACCTTCTTTAGACAGCATAACAGATGACTATACACATGGACCTTGCCAGATGGAACACATAGAAATCAAATTGACTACATCTGTGGAAAGAAAAGATGGAAAAGTTTCATATCATCAGTGAAAACAAGGCTAGGAGCAGACTGTGGAACAGACCATCAATTACTCAAATGCAAATTCAAACTGAAACTGAAGAAAATGGAAACAAGTCCACAGAGCCAAAATATGACCTTGAATTTATCCCACCTGAATTTAGAGATCATCTGAAGAACAGACTTGATACATTCAACACTGAAGACCGAAGACCAGAAGAGTTTTGGGATGACATCAAGAACATCATACGTGAAGAGAGCAAAAAGTCATCAAGAAGACAAGAAAGAAGGAAAAGTTCAAAATGGATGTCAGAAGAGACTCCGAAACTTGCTCTCCAGTATAGAGATGCTAAAGTAAATGGAAGAAATGAGGAGGTCCAAGAGCTGAACAGAAAATATCAAAGATCAGCTCAAGAAGATAAAGCCAAATATTATAATAAAATGTGCAAAGAATTGGAATCAGAAAACCAAAAAGGAAGAACACGCTCAGCTGGGGGAACTGAAGAAAAAATTCAAGCCTCAACTTTTGTTATTAAAGGATTCTCTAAGCAAATTATTGAATGATACAGAAAACATCAAGAAAAGATGGGAGGAATACACAGTGTCATTGTACCAAAAGGAAATGGTTAATGTTCAACCATTTCAAGAGGTACCATATGATCAAGAGCCAATGATACTCAGGGAGGAAATCCAAAGTGCATTGAAGGAATTGGCAAAGAACAAGGCGCCAGGAATTGATGCAATAAA